CTATACCGTGTGTAGTGACCAGCCGGGTCGTTACACTTAGGACTCCCCCAAGCTATTACACAAGGAGGGTTTTCCCTAATAGTGTACTCCACATCGTACCCATCACATATATGCACATGATGTATGTCATACATTCACACTTCATTGACTCATCATTTCACTTGTTATAGAATTTCATGTCTTATCCCATTTAATCACGTTTCATAATTTTGCGTAACCCATCTCCTAAAAATTCACTAAACCGAGTCAACCTAGCCCATTTCCCCTTATCCCATTAAATTAAATAAATTAATATAATAAAATTGTTTTCCACATGTAAAAATAAATATTAATTTTGACCAGTTTGAGACTATATGAGTACTTCTCCTTATTTGAGTACTTCTTCCTCTTCCCTCTCAGCCCTTCTAAAAATGTCAAATGAGACAAGTCAGGATAATTTTGCGTAACCCATCTCCTAAAAATTCACTAAACCGAGTCAACCTAGCCCATTTCCCCTTATCCCATTAAATTAAATAAATTAATATAATAAAATTGTTTTCCACATGTAAAAATAAATATTAATTTTGACCATAATGTAACAATATTTTAATAATATTATTATTTTATAAAATAGGATGTTACATGTGACCTATTAGTAAAATGTCCAACTAATTAACCTCACATATTTGAATTTAAAAAATTACTTAGAATATTTTATTCCTAAATTAATTAATTAAATAATCTTTTATTAATCTATTTGAAAAAGTGGAAAGTTACATGTTTTGCCTTAATCACCTATTGCCCGATCTAATAAATTTAATTGAGGTTAAAAAATTGATTCGTTATTAAGGAGTATTTTCACATAAAAGAATTAATCTCCTTTAAAAGTTTAACATATATTAAATAAATAAACATTTTCTCCGAATTTATATTTTATACATATGATAAATTAAATATATTTATTTTATTAGAATATAATTTTATTTTTTAAAATATATTATTTTTTAAAATAAAAAATTATGTATGTGTCAGATAGTAGTGGGGCAAGTGCCCCCACAGTCCAAAACGTGGATCTTCCACTACTAGTAGACATTATACCCTTCATAGCCATCATCAAAAGTCATCAATATATATAACATATTCATAGCCTACGTCGGGCTTCATTAGGCCGCGCTTGACTCTAAGTCACAACAAAGAGCACATAACATTTTCACGCCCGACCTAATTATAATTACGTTGAACGCTAATGAACCATAGAGAGCACACGACACTTTCATGTTTCACCTGGCGCTAATGAATCATAGAGAGCACACAACATATTCATGTCTGGCGTGATATGTTCCATGCCTGATGTAACCCTATCTGGGTTTCACATTCATTAGTATGAATGCAAGCTCGATGCGAAGGACTCAAGCCTAGCACCCATCGCATTTTCCATAAACTTAGCACAGACAGACCATCACCAACATTTATAATCAAACATACAAACATCATTTTATCAATCCAGTTGGTCAAAAACACTTATTTTTACCCAAGAACACATTATATAGTCTTAATTCAAGATTTACATACCAATTAACAATAATCAGATCACTCAAAAATTCTAACCCATAGAGACATTCCAGTGAATTCAGTTATCATTATTAGATCATCAATTTTAACAAACAATACAAGAAACACAACCATAAACCAATACAAAGCCTAATTGAATTGTTGGTTACAACATCAGAACAAAAATTGGGAAATCTTAGAAATCTAGGGATTGCTCCTGTTACCCATCCTCTCTTGTAATCACACACATGAATTAACTCATTTCCCTCCCCATACCTTATTGTGATGATCTGAACAATTTGATGTAGTTTGAGACTATCTGAGTACTTCTCCTTATATAGCTCTTTCCTTTTCTTCCTCTTGCCTTTCAGTCCTTCCAGAAATGTCAAATGAGACAAGTCAGGATAATTCTGCCTAAATCATCTCCTAAAAATTCACTAAACTGAGTCAACCCAGCCCATTTCCCCTTATCCCATTAAATTAAATAAATTAATATAATAAAATTGTTTTCCACATGTAAAAATAAATATTAATTTTGACCATAATGTAACAATATTTTAATAATATTATTATTTTATAAAATAGGATGTTACATGTGACCTATTAGTAAAATGTCCAACTAATTAACCTCACATATTTGAATTTAAAAAATTACTTAGAATATTTTATTCCTAAATTAATTAATTAAATAATCTTTTATTAATCTATTTGAAAAAGTGGGAGGTTACATGTTTTGCTTAGTGAGAGTGGGTGAGGGTCCGGGGAAGAAGAAAAAAAAAAAAAAACAAACATCATGGGTCTCACATTTCACATTCTCATAGTCATAGTCATATGGTCACACACACATTAGTTTTCACATTCATAGTATTCACACTAGCACATAATTCACATCAGATTAGTAGTTATACATCACACAATCAATTAACCATTTATAAGCATATAAAACATGTAAAACATTAACCAGGGGTTGTGCCCGGTGCACCCAACTCGCGCTCGCCGAACTAAATGTCGCACCAAAAGTAGAGCAGCATGCCTAGTGCGCCTGGCGAAATTAATGTCGCGCCTAAAGTAATGAAATTAATTAATATCAATTAATATTGCTTCATTTTTATTTATAATTAAAATTATTTTGTTTGTAATTGAAAATTTAACAAAATTTAATCTCTTAATGCATAATGTTTTTTGTATTTTATTTTTTATAATGAGCACTTTAATTAAATTTTGTTTTCCTTCATTTTTTTTCAAAACAAATAGTTGCATATTAACAAGTAATTTTAAATTTAAGTTCAATGAATTAAATCCACAGATAAGAAAAATAAAATTAAAGCAATTTTTGTCTTTATATCTTCTTTGTTCAGAATTTCATAGTATCTAATTTGTGATTCTTCTTCTTTTGCAAGACTGGGTATCAAATCTCATATTATGTGTGACAAATTGAGAATAGTAAAAAAAATGAAAAAAAGTAGTACCTTCTATTTCTGGCAAAGATTATCATGTGAGATAAAAATTAAATAAAGAAGATAGGAAATAATTTAAATAAAATGTAAATATGTAATATAGAGAGTTGAGGAGAAAAAAAAAGGGAGTAAACTTTTATTTTTGACTAAGGTTACCATGTGAAATGAAAAATAAACAAAGAAGGTGAGAGATAAATTAGATAGAACATAAATATTTATGAAAAATAAATAGAGAGAATGAAAGATAAATTAGATAGAACATAAATATGTAATATAAAAGGTAGAGGAGAAAAAAAAAAGGAAAAAGTGAAAAGATTGACATGTGAAATGAAAAATAAATAAAGAGGGTGAAAGATAGATTAGATAGAATGTAAATATGTATGAAAAATAAATAAAGAGGGTGAGAGATAGATTAGATAGAACATAATTATGTAATACAAAAGGTAGAGGAGGAAAAAAAGGAAAAAAAAAGTGGTACCTTTCATTTTTAACAAAGATTGCCATGTAAGATGAAAATTAAATAAAAAGAATAAGACGTAGATTATATACAACATACATATATAATATAAAGGGTGAAGGAGAAAAAAAGGAGGAGAAAAAAAGTAGAACCTTTTTGATGATTATGAAATAAAAATTAGACGATAAAGAAATGATGGATATATTAAATAGAATGCAGAGATATGTAATAAATAGAAAGTAAAGAAAAAATATGATAGAAGATAGAAGTTTAAAAAATTAATTTAGGAAATTTTTTACATAAACAAATATGCTGACATGATAATATGTAAAATTAATTTTATAATGATATGCTAACGTAATAAAATTTAACTCAAATTTTATATTATAAATAAATAGACAAAAGTTATGAAACTTGACATGAATTTGATTTGTTGTTATGCTTTATAAGTTATTAAATGAAATAAATCTATCAAAATTTATTTTTAAAATAAGTGATTATATATATATATATAATATTAATTACATGCGACCTAACAACTCCAAATAAAAATATATAAAAATCAAAATAATTTTGGAGAGAAATGATTATTTTTATAACCAACTTGCATGCATTAGGACAAATTCACGTGATGTCAACATCCATGAATTTTCTTTCTCATTTTCCAGCTGTCGGAGTGGAAAATCGAGCATGGTGATTCAATGTCAAACAATTTCTTATACATGAATAAAAAAAATGTTATATTTTTAAACTGATCAACGTTGTTTTGCATCATGCACTTAATTAATGTTAAAATAAAAACAATAAATTGCCCTTTATTTATTTAATTTTTCATTTTATCATATTGCCCTATTTTATCTGAATAAATTAGCCTTGAAGAAACTAAGAAACACAAGCAAGCTGCTTTCAGAGTAAAAAGTTAAACTGCGATTCCCTATAAATACCTAGATAGATGTTTGGGTGTTTCATCAATATAAACTACAGAAATTACAAAGCACTTAAATTTGTATAGAGCAAAAGATGTCCCTTCCAGCTTCAGCAGTTGTTTCAACCCAAAATGCAGTATCTGATATCAGACGACCTTGCGCGAGTTTTCCTCCCAACATATGGGGAGATACTTTCCTTCAATATGCTTCTGAGTTTATGGTATTATATATTTATATTCATATATACTCGTGTAGTTTGAAATAGATGTGAGTTCTATTATTTTACTGTTCTTTCATGATGTAAATTTTGCAACATTTCCTTGCGGTTAGTCTAATTCCTAACAACAAATTACTGTGAATAGTTCAGCCGCATATTGAGATAAGTGTATAGTATTTAATAAATTATAGAATATATTTTATTTGAAAAATTAAAATTTTCTAATTAATTTAAAATATTAAACAAAAGAAAAAAAAGATCACATTTTGATTTTATTTCACCAAAAATACCATCAAGACCCAAGTATACTCAATTCTTTCATTCTTTTTCTTTTAAGTGTAACACATATGCCTCCATATTTAGTAGATTATTATATCATTCTGTTATTTTAAAAAAATAAAAATCAATAATTTTTTCTAATAACTATTATTCTTTTTTAATGATTATCCACTCTATTATTTTTATTTTATTTTAGTTTTTTTTAATAATTATTAATAGGCATGAAAGGTCTCTTTTTATCTCTAGTGTTTATAATTAATGTTGTTGCCTTTTTGTTTATATGTTATTTTTTAACCGGGTAATATATAATTTTCGTAGTTTGCATTATCATGTTCTTGGATTTTTTTCTTCTTCTTTTTCTGGGAACCTTTAATCAAGTCTTCAAATTAAAATAATTTGTATTCAAGTTCTTCATCTTGTACAATTTTTGTAATTGGGTACCTAAACAAAGTGTTATTTTTCTAATGGTTTCAAACCACTAAATTAACTCTAGGACCTAATTACAAAAATATAAAAGATTAAGGAATTAGTTATAAATATTTTTAATTTATGGATTTAATTAAAAATTTTCAAAAATATGAATAAAATGTTGATATATTAAACCTTTCTTTTATGCTTTTACGTAACATATTCAACGTTTCGACGTCAAAATGAATCTTCATTGTCATCCATACATTGAGAATGTCATTAAGGGGCTCATATATATATATATATATATATATATGATTTTCTTTATTTAAATTGTATAAAAAATATTAATTAGTTGATGAATTGTAATTTAGTATAATGTTTCCTCCATGAATATAATATAGTTTCCTTAACTTATTATGCGTATTTCTAAAAACTTAAGTCTTTAATTTTTATTTTTATTTTTATAATGAAATGAGCATTATAGTTCAAAATTATGTCTCTATGTTAAATTATTAGTTTTTAAAAATTACATAATTTTGTTTTAAGCCTACATATAAATTAGACCCCAGCTTTTGGAAAAAATTCATTGACACACGAAGCATCGAAGAGAACACACACAAAATACATCAGAAATAAAAATAACAAAAGACATACTTTAACTTCATTTTGGCATATCTTGCTGGGTAATCTTTTTTTCCTGTCACAAAAGATACGAATGTATATTCTAAACCTCTGTAAACGATTAACTAAATGCAGCTATATTTGCAGGAAGTCAGTGACAATGTGAAGCAGCAAGCTCAAATGTTAAAGGAAGATGTGAGAATGATGTTTCAAGCATCCGTAAATCAAAATATCATCGACAAGTTAAACTTAATTGACTTAATCCAACGTTTCGGTGTATCCTACCAATTTCAACAAGAAATTAACCAAGCACTGAAACAAATTAACGACAGTTTCAATGAAGATGAAAATCATCACTCTCTTGCTCTACTTTTTCGGTTGCTTAGACAACAAGGATATCAAATTTCATCAAGTATGTATACATCTTTCTCATTGATATTTAAATAAGAAAAATTAAATTATGCCTATAAAGTTAATGTCAAAACTCAAAATCTATTAAATAATTATTATTTCTTATAAATGTTTAATTAATTGAGCAGGCATATTTAACAAATTAAAAAATGACCAAGGAAACTTTGATGAAACACTTGTCAATGATATTCAAGGATTGTGTAACTTGTATGAAGCTACACATCTAAGAACTCACGAAGATGATATACTAGAAGAAGCGTATGACTTCTCCAAGACTCATCTGGAGTCCTTGGCCAACCGAGTGAGTCCATCTCTTGCTATCCAAATCGATCATTGCTTAAGGAGACCTCTTAATAAGAGTGTACTTAGGTTTGAGGCAAGGTATCACATGACTATATATGAACAAGATCCTTTTCATGATGAAACTCTACTAACCTTTGCAAAAGTCGATTTCAATATTCTTCAAAAAATACATCAAAAAGAAATTGGCAATATCAACAAGTAAGTTCGTCACATTTATATTTTTATTCAATGACAACATTTTTCTATGCTTCGAAATACATTATCTTGCTACAAATTTTAAACATAAACAATTAAAATGGAGTATATTTAATTTGTTATGGTGTAATTTATTTTTTCAACAGGTGGTGGAGAAAATCAAACTTTGCAATAAAGGTTCCTTACGCTAGAGATAGATTGGTTGAAGCCTATCTTTGGTCATTAGCTACATCATCCAACAAACTTGAATACAGTTATATAAGAATGTTTATGGGAAAATTGACTGCTGTTGTTGCTCTTCTAGATGATACTTATGATGATTATGGCACTATTCAAGAACTTGAACTCTTCACAAAAGCAATTGAAAGGTTGATGTGTTTCATAAAGTATAGCTTATACTATATATTTAATAGAAAAAGGACGACTTTAAAAATACATGATTGACTTTTAACTTGTGATCTCACATTTACATTAAGGTCTTAAAAATAACTTATTTTATTAATTTCAGATGGGATATTAATCCCTTTGGATGTCTTCCACAATGCATGAGAGTAGTGTTTGATACGGTTGTAGAATTTTGTGAAGAAATAAAGTTGAAGACAACTAAGACTGGAAAATCAAGTTTTGTGATGCCACATTTTAAACAAGCGGTAAATTAATTATTCCAATTTTTTTCTTATTTGAATATTTTTTATGATTCAATTTATCTTATCAACAATGGTTATTTTGCTTGTAGATTTATAACTTAATTAAAGGCTACATGGTTGAAGCCAAATGGTGTCATGAGAGTTACGTTCCAACATATGATGAGTATAAAGTTAATGGAGTTTTAAGTTCTACTATCCCCTTTTTCATAACATCCTTTATTTGCATTGGAGAATTTGCAACAGAAAATGTGTTGGATTGGGCTTCTCGTGGTCCAAATATCATTGAAGCTGCATCAATTATTGGCAGAGTAGTGGATGACATGGCCTCACATAAGGTATTCATTTCTTATTAAAAGTAAGGAATTGATTTGACATTCTCCACCCAAAGTTATTTATTCATTGGATAGAAGCTGAATACAATGAAGCTATATATGAGAATATATATATATATATATATATATATATATGATATTAATTATGCATGTATATTATTTATATGTAACTTATATTTATTGTGTGTGTGTGCTATTAACCTTTATTTCTTCATCACGTGCATGTTTTTTTTTTTTTTACCATTCAAAATTTTTATATTTGAAGATAGTATATATATATATATATGGAATGTTAATATATTCCTACCTATTTTTTAGTGGGAGTATGTTAGCAACCTACACCAAAATTTTAGGACAAAAAAACCACTCATTTCTTTTGATTTGGTTAATTTGTATAAAAAATATTATAGTAATTTAATTTAATTTTAAATGAAAATTAAATATTTTCTCTCTCTTATTAATTTCTTTCACTAAGTCATTTATCTCTCCTATTAAATTTCTTCTCCAACCCATTTATCTTTCCTATTAAGTTCTTTCTCTAACTTATTTATCTCTCTCCTATTAAATTCCTTCTTTAACTCATTTCTCTCTCATCTCTCATAATGTCTCTCCCCTCTCTCTGAACAAATAAAAATTAATTAATAGAAAAAAGAAATGACTTAGTGAATGAAGTTAATAAGAGAGAGAAAATATTTAATTTTCATTTACAATTAAATTAAATTACTTAATATCCTTTGTACGAATTAACCAAATCAAAAGAAATGAGTGGTTTTTTTATCCTAAAATTTTGGTGTAGGTTGCTAACATACTCCCACTAAAAAATAGGTAGGAATATATATATATATAAAAGGAGAAATATATTTATTTTAGGAATAAGTTTATTTAAATTTACTTCATTCAATAACTCATGTTTTATATAAAATTTCAACAATTCAACCATTGAATTTAAATAGATCAAGTGTGACACCCTCTACCCCAACATAAATACACAATAAATGTCTCATAGTTTCATAACATCTTTCATGATAAAACAAATGTCTCAAATATCATAAGGTAGAAGATTCACATTCGTAACTCATAAATCATAAAAAGTCAACATATAAGTATCAAAACTCAATAAATCATATAAAGGAAAATATAGATTAATTCCAGCAAAGGTGGTAGTGCTTCCTAGTTAGGAATTAATTTATAATTTCCAAATCATGTAATAAAAATAATATGACAAAAATGTACATTTTGGTCTTTTTCTCAAGAACGTTCAAAATTACAAAAGAAGAGAAAATTAAAGCTTTTAAAATAATAACATCTCAAAATAAGCCTAGCTATGCCCGATGTCACATCCTATTAGAGCATGCCCAACTGAAGCCTTAAGCCTCATCACCAACATCCTCATGATGTTGATCACCTGCAACATAATTTAAACATATACAAAAACAACAAGGGAGTGAGAAACATCTAACTCAGTTTTAGGTGAAGAAATAAAGGTTAGATAGCACACACACACAACAAATATAAATCACATGTAAACAATACACATAAATAATCAATATCATATATATACTCATTTATCATGCTATGATGTCATGAACTCGACTCATAAATGCATGCATGTGGCGCCATAAGGAAGTTTCACATATCATCACTAGTAACCCTAAGGTACACCTGGTTAGCATGTTACATCGTTGGTGACCCTAAGGTACACCTTGTTAGCATGTTACATTGTGGGTGACCATAAGGTACACCTTATTAGCATCTTACATCGTGGGTGACCATAAGGTACACCTTATTAGCATGTTACATCGTGGGTATGCGGCCTCAGTGGCACACCTGAAGTAATATATGCATATGATGCATGTCATACATTCATAATCTCATTGACTCAACATTTAACTTATTACAGAATTTCATTTAGTACATCATGTCCTCATTTGTCATAGTCTCATAATCACAATTTGTCTCAATAGCCCATTCTTAGGTCTCATGTCATTTGTTCATATTTCACATGGTCATGTCATAAATACTCCTCATAAGGTTCGCATAGGAATTCACAAAGGACATTCTTATTCATATTAAAACTTATTCATTTTTAATGTTAATGACATAATCATTTATTATTTCCATCAAGGAATAAAGTAGAGCAAATAGAAAATCAGACAGAACAATGGCAAGGGATTGGGATTACATAATCATTTATTATTTTCAACAAGAAATAAAGTAGAGCAAATAGAAAATAAGACAGAACAACGGCAAGGGATTGAGGGCCAATCCGACAAACAAACTATCCAATAATTATCCCCACACCCCTGAGCGAGGTTTCTCACTCCCCCCCTTACCTGGACAAGCGGAGTTGAAACTTGGGCAGGGCCTCCTCCTCTGGATTCCCTCTTTCCTTCCCTCTCTTTCTTTCTTTGTTTGTTTCTCTCTCTCTCTCTCTCTCTCCTCTTTCTCTCTCTAAGATTTCACCTTCTCACTCAGTATAAAATTTTCACCCCCCTTGCCCCTATTTATAGGCATCCTGGCGCACCCGGAACGGCCCGTACTGATTTCGGAACGGCCCGTTCCAGAGTCTTCAAATATACGTAGATTTTTCAACTGGAACGGCCCGTTCCAAAATTAGAACGGCCCGTTTTCAAAAAGCAGAACGGCCCGTTCTGAAATCAGAACGGCCCGTTCTGGGATCCATGTTAACACACATTGACTATAGTTGTAACGGCCCGTTTCCAACTTAATTTTCTAGGAATTTTTCTTACACTGGAACGGCCCCGTTTCACTTTGGGAACGACCCGTTATGGAAAAACCCAATTAGGCGTTTTTACAAATTTTGGAACGGCCCGTTCCACCATTTGAAACGGCCCGTTCTGGTCCTTCAAAATAGTTCACTTTCATCCTTTGGAACGACCCGTTCCACTTTTTGGAACAGCCCGTTCCGCTTTTTGGGAACAGCCCGTTCCGCTTTTCGGAACAGGCCGTTCTAGGCCTAAAAAATCATAATTAACTTTATATAAAATTTTCATAAATAATTTTAAATTAATACAAACCTCTATAAAACCCCTGTAATTAACAAAAATAACTATATAAAAATAATAATATTCAACATTGTATTAGTAGAAAATTCGGGGTGTTACATCAAGTCTACAGATTTTTAAAAAATTTGAAAATCATTTGATACTTCCTTTCATTAATTCAAATCAATATATAAAATAACTTTATGATTATCCGTTAATTTGAATTAATGAAAAGAAGTATCAGATGATTTTAAAAATTTGTAGATTTGATTTATACATTAATAACTTTAAATTCAACAGTTAAATCGTTGAAATTTGATATAGAACATAAGTTATTGAATGAAGTAAGTTTAGATAGATTTAAGTAAATGAATCCCCCCTTGATTTATATATATATATATAT